GGCTATTCGCAGTCCATCAGACATATAACGTTGCAAAACTTATTCAGTTTTGCGAAAATGTTCAGCATTTTAGGTGATAGGTTTTCAGTGGCAGTTTAGCAATCATTCATTATAGTTCATCGAGTGTCATCATCGAAACTCTTATTCTATGTGGTTTTTCTCAGTAAAAAGAAGGGTTTTGGGTCAGGGAAAGGGATATTAACTGCTTTCGTTTGAAGGAATTTCTATTACTTTTGTCTACTACTACCTTCTTGGAATAAAAGTTAATATTTGAAATACAATGGGCGGAAAAGAAACTTAAAATGAATTTTTTGGTAGTTATATCCTTTTCAAAATCCCCAAGACAGTTGCAAGTTTTTAGTTTAGCTCTAACTTACAATGAACAACGGTGCGACGAGGAAAGTTATTTAGGTTTTTCAGTTTTCAAGGAAACTAAAAATGAGTTGAAGTCATCTGATTTATGATTCTATATAAATATCAAACACGACTCCATTAATATAAAATTGGTGAAATGGAAGAGTCCATAGCAATTCCAAATTCCTAATGAAAAATCCTCTTTGAACTGAAAACGATTTGGTACATGAATTTGGAAGTTGATAGCTTCTTCTTGAAATTTAGTTCTGGTTTTTGGAGTTATTTTTTTTCTAAGAACCAAGCTTATAATTTATGGATTTTGCATATTTTTTTTTAGTTTTTCTGCGGATATAATGTCATAGTACAGTATCACCATTAAAGTTGTCAACATATCAGAATTGTTTTCGCAATAGACCTACATGGAACAATAATATACAATTCAATAATGTGTCGAAAAGTAGTACCATACAAAATTGATTAAAAAACACACGTCTCGATTGAATACTTTCAATAATTTTTTACTTACATACTTGACAGATAATAGCAAACATACGAGTAAGTTTTCAGAGAAATTGGATGATCGTGAAACCAGTAAAGTTCAGTAGTGTGTTGCAGATCCTCGATGTATTATTCGCTCGTGGATACGACTGGGCATTGTCCTGATAAGGTGGTTTATATCATGTTGGGGTATCTCATTCCACCCTACTTCTAACTCATGTGTAAGTGCTGCTAAAGTCTGTGGGGATGTTGTAAATTCAGCAGTCTGTGATCAAGAATATCCCACATGTTCGATCGGTGAAAGGTCAGACGATCTGGGTGGTCATGGCAAGCGGTTAATGTCATGCTGATCCATGAAGTTTAAATCTGTTCAAAATCTGATTTTCCGTTAATCAGCTGTCGCCCCCATACGAACGACAACTCTCAGAAGTTGAGAAACTTGTGCGAGCTAAGGACTAACGAGGTCTTACCCTTTAACGTGTGATTCCTAACTCTAGCCACATGCGTTGTCTTATTGAAATATGAGGTCCTCGATGGTCTCAAGATATGGAACTTCTATGTGAATATAACGAAAATCTGTCATGTTGCTTCTAATGAAGGCTAAAGGTGTTCCTGCAACCATATGCAATGTCACCTCATACTATAAAACCAACATTACGGTGAACATGTCTCGGCACGGAGATCTCGTCTTTCACCATGATGCCTTCTTACGCTTGCTCGTCCATCGTGCATACCCAAACAAAAGCGGGGTTTATCGCTGAAGACTACGCGGTTCCACTGTTGGTCCCAATTTATTCTGTCTCTGCACCAGTGCATTCGGTTGCGTCGATCCTCGAAAGTCAATGACAACACCCAATGGGGATGATAAGAAAAAAGTCACAAACTTCACATTCGCCGATATACTGTACGCATTTCAACAACCCTTCCGTGTTCTTCAAACCACTTATTCGCAACTGCCCTAAAGGTGCGTATTCACCGAAAAAGCGAGCACGAGCGAGCATGAGCGAGCATTCGTGCATGTTTGCTCGTGTTCGCTCATGTTCGCTCGTGTTTGCTCGACATATTGATGTCTCGTCCACACCAGAGCGAATCTACTTTATGCGAGCAGTGCGTGCGCGGTAAATATGTCTGAAGGTGAGTATTCACCAAAAAAGCGAGCAAGAGCGAGCATGAGCGAGCATTCGTGTATGCTTGGTCGTGTTCGCTCATTATTGATTATTGATGCAGAATGCTCGTTCACTCTTATTTACTCTTGTTCGTTCGTGCTCGCTTTTTTGGTGAATACGCATAGAAATGAACCGATCCCTAAAGGTGCGTATTCACAAAAATAGCGAGCACGAGCGAGCTTTCGTGTATATCTGCTCGTGTTCGCTCGTGTTTGCTCGACATATTGATGTCTCGTCCACACCAGAGCAAATATCTACAAGTTCGTAGTCGTAGCTGATCCATCTACTTTGTTCGAGCACGAGCGAGCATGAGCGAGCATTCGTGTATGTTTGGTCGTGTTCGTTCATTATTGATTATTGATGCAGAATGCTCGTTCACTCTTATTCGCTATTGTTCGCTAGTGCTCGCTTTTTTGGTGAATACGCATCTTAATAGAAATGAACCGATCCCTAAAGGTGCGTATTCACAAAAAAAGCGAGCACGAGCGAGCTTTCGTGTATATTTGCTCGTGTTCGCTCGTGTTTGCTCGACATATTGATGTCTCGTCCACACCAGAGCAAATATCTACAAGTTCGTAGTCGTAGCTGATCCATCTACTTTATTCTATAAATTTTACGTTTCAGGTATTCCTACAAAAAATGAATCGAAAGGCGACCAATCTGGTGACCAGCTGAGTTTTCTTCCAATCCTATGTTCTAATGGACCTTCAACTTTTGAAAGATGAAATGATTTTTGTCATACTGTTAATTTATGAAGAGTACGAAAAGAGGCAGTATGGCCTGCATGGTTACCACATTTGTTTTCTCTTGATTTCTCTATAAATGTCTGAAAATTGTGAGAGAGTTTTGAACAAAATCCAAATTTTTATATAGGAGTGGGTGGTCATCACCAGTTGGATACGAGGTGTGACTAAAAAGTAACCGGACTGGTTTCATGTAAGATGAACAGTGCAGGTCTCAATGTTGAACGCCATATTGCTGAGTCGCTCGACATTTTCCCTCCACGTGAAATTTTGAGTGAAATTCCGGAAATCCGAAACAGAGACCTGTTTTCTTTCAAAACAAGTTTATGGTGATGAATGTATGTCATGTACATGGGCTTTTGAGTGGTATGAACGTGACAAAGAAGGGCGAGAAGACATCAAAGATATTCCACGCCCAGAACGCCCTTCAATTCCGAAAATGGATGAACACATCGAGAAAATAGGCAATCCCATCCGTCAAGATCACCGTTCGAGGATTCGTGCAGTTTAGACTGAAGGAATCGACAAAGAATAACACACATATTACATGAACATTCAAATATGAGATAAGTGTTTTCCAAAATGGTACCTAAGATTCTCACGTTTGATCAAAAAGACCCACGAATGAAAATTTGTTCCGTGTTAGGAATTACACGTTAAGAGGTAAGACCTCGTTAGTCCTTAGCTAGTACAAGTTTCGACTTTTGAGAGTTGTCGTTCGTAGGGGTACGACAGGTGGTTAACGGAAAAACAGATTTTAAACAGGCAAAAACTAAGCACCTATTAATGCACTGGAAAATTCCACAGTCACGACGATTGAAAAACCTCGAATTTCCTAATTAAAATTCAAGCCCATGATGATTTTTTTTCAACATTCATGGATATGTATATGTAAATTGGGTTCCTGCAGGACAAACAGTGAATAAAAATTACTGCAGCCTGCACTGAACTGACTGTTAAGTCATATCAGGCCAAGCACGAGTTACTTGTGTCGGAACATCCACCATATTTACCAGATCTAACTCAATGTGATTTTTATATGTTTCTGAAAGTGAGATGAGTATTAAAAGAAACCAGGTTTATTAGAGCGGAATCTGTGGAAGTAAAGTGTCGAAGACTTCAACCATGCTTTCAGAAAATTACTTGAAATACTTTTTTGAAAAGTGAAAAATTCGAAACAAATGAAGAATTATACCAAAAATTCTTTTATTGTCTAGCCAAACCTCGTAAATGAACTGTCAATTTCAAAAGTATTTTTTATAAAACTATTAGGTGGAACTCTCAAATTCAATGGCTACTCCAAAGAATTACAAACACTTTTTGTTTTGAGGTGATTCATACTCTCGTTTGCTGGTGTAATTGGCGTATTCAAAAATACCGGAAAAGAGTATCCCCATTCAATTAATAATTGACGGGCCCCTCTGTTTAGTTGTCTTTTGATTATCTTGTGTCTCAGCATTGCTGTATAAACGAATTCCCAAAGGAACCGAAGAACATAGAATTTATGGTAAGCTGAAGATGAAAATGTATGGTTCATACAGTGATGTATGACCATCACTGTATGGTTCATACAGTGATGGTCAAAGAAACTGACGAAATCAAAATTTTGCTACTTTTAACTGCATTGATTTATTTATAGAATATTTCGTTGACATTATGACATATGACTTGGAGTACTTCATTATGTCAGGGTGTAGTGTATTTTTCTCAAATAACAGGTAGATATTTTTTATGTTATTATCAAACAGTTCTGTGAATTACGCCAATATTCGAGTGGGAATGGGAAATGGGAAATTTTAAATCATCCTGTTAAGTGAACGTTCTTCAAACTCTTAGTTTTTGAATCATGTCTCTATCTCAACTGGTTCAAAAAATAGAGGCCGCAGAATTGTCAATCCCTTTTTTTTCATGCACTTCAAACACATTGAGCACTTTAATTACAATACAATAATACAACAAAATGATAAGAACACCAAAAGATCATATAAATGAGAAGATAACATCGGATATTCTCCCCCCTTTGCTTTGATTTGATTTGACTCAATTCTTAGTCAAATCAAATCAAGAGTTGAATCAAAGAGTAAAAGGGTTTCTTTTATTTGACAGGCTATTAAAAAAATTAATCCTGCTTAACTGATGCTAAAATCCACAGAGCGTTTCGAAAACAGCTTAAGAACAATTACCTGTTTCTGAAGAAAGAAAGTGATACGCTCCCCGGAATCCAGTGCCGTGTACTTACGTCCGGTGAGGGGGTGCATCAAAGTTGGGTGCGTGTTGGCGGCGTTAGCAGCTTGTTGTTTGGGCTTGCTAACCTTCGTGTTACTTTTAGCAAACTCCAATCTGATGGTCTGTGGCATGTCGGGGTCAAACCTTACGCCCTGCTGCAAAATTGCCCACAAAAAAGAGTGATTCGGTGTTTTGTAAAATAATGCGGTTAAATGTTTTGAAAGGGGATGGAAAGGGTTACAACAAATCTTGGTACTCAATTAGTAGAGAACGGCATGTACGAGTGGTGGAAAAAGTGTAACTGGGCAGAGTTTTCAAAAATGTGCTGATAGCATTGTACCAAAAATGACGGGATCTATTAGAAAACATTATTTTATTTATAGAAAAGCAAAATGTAAAATTGGGGAAATGTAATTAACGTACTCAAGCAACACTTCGTTATGAGATTTCACCGAATATTTTGCAAAACTGCAACACGTGTTTCACTATACAATAGCTTCTTCAGGTGTGTTCAATCCTAAAAACTATACAAATGTTTAGTAAAAATCTCACAAGAAAGTGTTCCTCAAATATAGTGAACTTATCGAGAAAATTTAAGAGCATTCAAATATATCCACCAAATACTCGTATTTCCTCTAACGACTATAGTAATGAGAATTGAATCATTTTTGGTCAGGCGATTGAATAAAAAACCAGGTTACATTTTTTCACTGAGCAGGCAGTCATCGTGTTCATTAACTGTGGCATTATAAATGGTCAAAAATACTAAGCAATTGTGTATTTCTAGTGGTTGAGAATAAGGTTTGTTTTTTCAATTACAATACAATGATTTTTTATTAATACAACAGAATATCAGACAAGAAAACTGTTGTCACATTATTTTTACTAGTCCTGTCCATTCAGTATATATTTTTTTGTTATAACAAGAGAATCTTCATATAACTGATACTGCGGCATTACCATGAAAGTTGAAAGATGAAAGTGATACCGGTTGCTGAGACTTCGAAATATAACTCTCGTCCTCGCAATTCTAGTTGTTGACATTGTACGCTGACCTGGAAGATCAATCACCAAATGAAGTAATCGACCTCGTTGTGTAGTTGGACATATTTGGTCGAGTTGAACAGGAATGTGTTAGCGACCATAAACCCTCGCGGGTTGCAGTTGAGGTTCGAGTTACCCCACTCACCTAAAACTTACTCACCTACCTCATAAATTTTGTGAAATGAAAGTTTTCATTTATCATTGACATGTAACAATCATAAATTTGTTGATATACTAATTCGTTTGCAATTAAACTCAACTTGAAAATAATCATCTGAATAGAGGTTCCAAAACTTCTTTTTCTCATAGACCACTTTCAACATTTTGCTGGTTCTGGTGGACCCCCTGCAGCTAGCATATTTCTAATACTCGACAGAAATGTGAAGATTGGATCTAACTATGAAAAAGTGAGAACTGATTGGTTTAATAATTAACTGATTGTGTTGTGAGTGGCTATCAAAAAAAGGGAAGTTGGTCGATCAAAAAAGTGATTCCATCCAACTCCACTTTTTTGACATCTACTCACAGCTAAAGACACCAATAAATTCTCACTTATTTTATTTAGAAATCTCCCCATTCGGTGTGGTAAAAATAAAAAGTATAAATAGTATATTTTCTTGTGTTGTTTATTCAAATATGTATTTATTACACTGTTACTCGGACGTAATGTAATTAAACTTGAACATTAATAACGTAACTTCTACACTACAATGACAATCACGAAATAGTCATAATTTTAGCGGGAAGGATGTACTTGACAGCTAATCATCAATATTCAGTTTCAGCTTTGAAATAACCTCAAACCTCCCTGTTCTGTGACATTCAATCTGCTCCTTTTTTTGTTAAAAGGTTTGTAACGGCACTAAAACGTTTTTCGATAAGATATGACAAGGGAACTGTATCATAAGTTTTCTTGCAATTTCCCACAGCCCAGAATATTTTTCGGGTATTTCTGCCTGCAGCCAAAATGTTGATACCCCCTTTTAAATTTCACCTCAAGCTCCTCATTAGTGCTAAGTTCGAGTAGCTACACCTATAATATCACATTCTCGACACGTTGTACTGAATGTGGAATTTGCAAGTTTTTAATTGTAACAATGCTGAGCTTCTTAAAATATCATCTGCTACATTGATAGATGAAGTCAAGCCAACATTTTATTTCTTCACTACCGAAACCAGATAAATTTCCATGGATCCCCGCTCGCGAATTGTAGACCCCTATTTTTTGGTCACACCAACGTAGACCGTCGTCGCGCCGTTGGTTGCCTCGTTGGGGTCTTGTGGTTCTCTGTGTCACTCTGTGAATCACTGGGAAGAACGCGTCAGGTCGCTAAGCGATTAAGCGTTCTGAATTTTTGGAATGTTGTTAAAGTAGGTACCAACCGAAAAAAAACAGGTTTGCAAAAACCTGTGCAAACTTAGGGTACCCGAAAAATCACTGAATTGTCGGACTTATATCAGTTTTTGATGTATATCTTGTAAAGAGTTCCATTCTACGGCGAACACTATTCTATACAGGGTATTTCCTAAATACGGTACGAAACGTCAGAGGATGATTCATTAGGTTATTTTACGAAAAAAGTTCTTTGGACATATGTGTGGAGTTACTTCATTTCTGATATACAGGGCGTTGAAGTTTAAAATACTTCAACGGCCTGTAAAAAAACCGGTTTTTAGCTTCGTCTTCCAGAAAAAAATTGAAGCTACTTTGCATAAACACCTGCTTTGGAGACCAGCTGATAATGAAAGTTTTGTCATGTCAGTGGAAGTCAGAGTTGTCAATCAGCAATGATTTCATCATGAATAATTTTACTAACGCTCAAATGATGCATGCACTTTCTTGATGGATTTATGGATTAGCAAATGGAACTGCGGAACAAGCAAGGGTAATTTACCAGGAACGATATCTGAATAGAGTAATTCCATGTGCTAAAACATTTAGAACGCTACATGCAAGATTATGTGAAACTGGGAGTTTCAATTAAAATGCAGGTGGTGGAAGACCAGAAACTGTAACAAAGCCCGAACTAGAAGCTATACTTCTCTCCAGGGATTCAAATCCACAGGTCCCCTCTTAGAGCTCCTCAAGGATAGCTGAAAGTCAGTCTAAAAACTGTTTGGACAATTCTAAAAAGAAACCTCCTATACCCATATCACATACAGCGGGTCCACATGATTTTCATTCAAGAATAATGTTTTGCAGGTGGTTGATTCATACGATGGTACATAATAATAAATTTTAACCAAATATTTTATTTACGGACGAAGCAAATTTTTACAGATGCTATCAGGAACTTTCACAATGACCATTTTAGGGCCCATGAAAATCCTCACGTCATTTTCTGCAACAATTTTCGTTGATTGATTGGATGTGCAGTACCTCAAAATTGGCCAGCTAGCAGTCCTTACATTAATCCTCTAGATTTTTATTAATTGGTTGATCTGAAGGCTTTTGTTTATGAAACTCCTGTAGATGTGAATGACTTAAGAAATCGAATAACTGACAATTGCAATACCATAAGGAATACTCCAGATATTTTTGAACGTGTCAATGCCGTGTATCTCAGAAACAAAGTAACTCCGCGCACATATGTTCATGGAAACTGTTTTTCTTGAAACGACTTAATGAATCACCCTCTGAAGTTTCGTATCGTAGTTAGGAAACACCCTGTATACTTTCGAAGTTATAGTTTTAGCGCAACTACGCAGCTCTGTAGGTTAATCAGAAGCCGAGATTCACGACACCTAAAAATTTCGAACATCTTCCTAGCAATATAGAGGCAAAAATACTCATTCGGTGAGGGAATTCAAGAGAAAAGAAGTGTAGAGCTTTAATTAAAGAGCAAGCTGATCCCTGTGGGACAAATAGTTTCCTTGTAATATGGAGAAAAAAGAAAAGACCGATGTCCTTGATGTCTCGAATGACTGAGCCATGACGACGAACAAAAATGGTCTTCAAATTAAACTCACTGCTGGAATAAAATATTAATAATAGCTTTAATACAATATATCAAACAGTTTACCTACTGTTCCACATTGCTAGGATTTTTTTCAGATCAAATATATATATTTCCATCATTGAAACGTCATTTATTGGAATTGAAGTAAATATTCAATTTATTTCTCATTGGCAATATTACCTATTATCGACAAACAAAATAAAGGTTTCATGAAACATTAAATTTGTGACAAAAGAGAGAAATATAAACATTCCACAGCTTGAGGCTGTAATGTGAATTATTTTTGGAATAGAATAGCGTTTTGTTTTTTCATAGATAATTTACTACTCAAAGGGAGAGGTAGAACGAATGTTATGAAAAACGCTTGCAGTAATAAAAAAAGTAATATTTTTTTCAATCACATTTATGTCTGTTTGGGTGAGTTAGAAAAAATTGTTAACTGAGGTGGTTGTCATTATAAAAATATAATGATAATGGTTCACTCATAGTCACAGAACACAATAGTGGTCAAAAGTGGTACCTTGGAAAGAGGAAGTATGTGCTGAACATCCAAGGTACCTTTTACAAACAAGTAAAGGGTGCCCCCATGGGTTCTTCTCTTTCACCAGTCCTTGCAAACCTGTTTATGGAAGACTTCGAAAACAAGGCTACTGACAGGTTCGATCGCAAACTCTTTTGCTGGTTCAGATACGTAGATGACGTTTTTGTCATGTGGCCCCACGACTCCGAAACTGTCCATAACTTCCTTGATCACCCCAACGACCTCCACCCAAAAATGAAATTCACAATAGAAATTGAAACCACCCACCATCATCCAGCACAAACCGAATCCGTCTTGAATTCTCTCATCCACAGATATATCAACCTTAAAGACCGCCACAACAAATCAGCTCTCCTTCAAAATGGATTCACAGACCATCAAATTAACAGATCCATCCGTCGTCAACAAACGTCTCCGTCCAGTCCCAAAGATCCAAAAGACAACAACGTTCCCGATAAAGCTTTCCTTTCCTATATCAAAGGTGTAACTGACAAAATTAGCCGGTTTCTCAAAAAACAGGACATAAAAACGATATTCATCGCCAAAGATCGAATTTTCACATCACTTCGCTCCCCCAAAGACAAAATTGTCAATGAATCCTGAAGTATAT